AAGATCTTTGAATTTTTTTAGTATCCACATCTGGTTCACGCCACCTCTAGAATAGGTAGTTTCATAATAACTTTGAAGACCGGTTGTGATTGTTGATAACATTGAAGTTAATATTTTATAAAGAGGTTCCGTGGAGCACTTGGAAAACCCAGCAATATAACGTTGTTTGTACGGACACTTATGTAGTTTATCCAATACAGTGAAGGAAGATCCAGTTCTTCATCTTTGGTTGTAATTTCAAAGGAACATAGAACAGACCTATGATTATCCAGGATTTTCTACTTGGTAAGTGTCGTGGGGGTATATGTTGAGTATCCAAACGCTTGTCAATACCTTATTCATTTATCAATAGGTTTATGTAATGTGATTTAAAAACGATGTTGTTTGGGCGTTATCTGCGGGACAACAACATATTTGTTATGGAGGTAGGGCAGGTGTTTTGCAACATTTGTGGGTTTAAAGATTGATGTAGCATGGGTATTCATAGACCCATTCAGTGTTTTAACGATCTCACATCCTTAATCCATTCGGAGAGAGTATCTACATCTTCTTTCTCGCGTTTAACCCATTGCCTATCATATAATCCTCGACTGAATCCATCAGTATTTTGAAGTTTCCAATTGATGGATCACGATATTTCGGGCTTTTGGATAGCACATTTCGGAGAGAAGTATTATTGACAATGTTTCAAGTGAGGTCACCAGTAATAACGCGGGTAGTCGGATTATATGTGAATAGAGAACTAGCACAGGTGCAATCAGGAGGTTTTAGACTTGAAATCGTCAATATTGAGATCCTGCAACACACGTTTGTAATTGAAAATTTTAGTTGCATTTGGTTTGGTATAGGTACAGACTGATCTTTAAAATATGGAGGAATTTCGAGTGCACTGGTTTATAATAAAGGATATTGCCCAAGTTGATGGCATCGAACCCTTTGTTGGCAAAGGAAAGTTTTAGAAAAGGATATTTTCTCCTTTTCATCTTTTCCAATGCGAACTGGTTTGAAAAGTCTGTAACTGGCAATATCCGAGATGATAGCTGTAAGTTTGTATTGGTTTGAATGGGGGTTTGTAACAGTGGTTTCCAAACATAAGTTGTACAGAGAATGAAGTTTTGAAAGGGATAATGAATAAAGCTTCGTCGTGCGAATGTGATGACTATCTAAGGGCTTTTGTATAAATGGCAGCAGGTCATTAATAGAGACTTTATGGAGAGTAGGTGATGTATAATGACGATGACCATGACTGCGTCTACGTCGAGTTGAAAATGTTCATCACATAATGTGTTTTGTGTACTGTTGTTTTTTGTTTTTGTTTGTTTGTTTGCTATGGAGTTGTCACTTTTTATTCGACTTACGGTTTTTGTTTGTCCCCCTTGATAATTCTCTGTCTTTTTAAATTTTTTTATATGTCCCCTCTGTCTATATATAATTTTCTTTTTTTTGATAAAATTGTGTCCCCGAAAGTATCGTAATATGTAATTAGAGTATGGAGAATTCGTTTTTCCTTCAGTTATTGATTTATGTTGCAATTATGTTAGAATACTATATTTGAATTGTAGCAAAATATAAATGTATTAGACTAAGCACTTCTTGCAAAACAGGAGAAAGGCTTTGTCAGATCGCTTTTCTTCCTGTTTCTAAAGCTTGTTAAGATTAATTTAATAGATTTTGACAACGTACGCTATAATTGTATAAATTATATTTCTAGTAATGGATTTCTGATATTATTGTCAATGTTTTCCCCAGAATGGAAAGGGTTGACAACATTTGAGAAGCATTCATTTTGTTTCACTTTAAAAAAAATGCAAACAAAAAGGAAAATCTTTAAGTTTGTAATCCAAAGTATTTTTAACATTAAGTGTAAGAAGGGGGTGCCAATTATTATTAAAGTCCACCCTACGTTTAAGAGTGGAGGAACAATAAACATATTTACGTTTTTCAATGATTTATTACCTTCTCGATAATTATGGAAGTGAAAGAATCACACTTAGATAAATTTCAAATTACACGAACCTCTAAGTTATTCCATTTTTATCTTTTAACATCCATAACGGGAGGTCAAAGAGCATACTCTCAGAGATAACATACGTTTGAAGATTTTACCAATTTCACCGTCAAGACACGAAACAAAACAAATACTTGATGAATTGTCTTGTTGTTAAAATGAAATTATTCGAGATAAATATTAAAGGTAACAGATCAGATAATTCTAATTAACTGACATGGGTGACCGAAATGATCAAAGCCTTCGGAACCCACTTTTCACACCTGACAATATCTCCGTTTCAGTATATTACCTCTCAAGTTTCACTTTAATCTGACAGGTAAACTTTTCAACGCCTTTTGTTTTAGTATTGTTGCTTTCATTATCAATTATGCTAATTTTCGTTTTGTCATCACTGTTGTGGGAATCTTGGACTAAAGGTATTTTCTAATTGAGGTTGTTTATGTATTCGCACTTTTGTTAACATCCATGACACCGTAAAAGGACTGACATGAACTTTAATACCCTATTTTGTCTTATCAGTGAGATAACTAGTTTATGCTGTCGCATAATTTTAATTTGTATTTTTCATATATAGTCCAATGAAGTAAAGGATTTACCAACACCGATACACTTAAAACAGAGGCGAAAGATACCAAAGGGATATTCAAGCTCATAAGTCGAAAAATAAACTGAAAATGCCATGGCAAAAAAATGAAATACAACAATCAACGGTACACAAAACACCAAATAGAAAACTAAAGATGAAGCAAGACGAACCCTACCAAAAAAAACAAAAAAAAAACACGGGTGATCTCAGGTGCTCCTCATGTGATTTAAGTTGCGGTACATTTGCACAAAAATACGAAGCTATCTGCTGTCATTGACATTGTATTTTCTTATTTAGTCTGTCCTTTGGAAAAGATCCATGTTTTATGTACTTATATGAGTCAATAAACCCATGAAATGCTTGCAAATATTTGTTTGTTTGCATTCTTCTCTATTTTGTTTTGTTTTGCTCAGATTTTCTATCTTCAATAGAAAAGCTTTTTCTAGTCGTTTTTACTTATATATGATGATTTTGTATATATGTTTGAATATCTAAACATAAAACTTAGTTTCATTTATTGGAACTTCTAATCGCTGTTATAATGACAATACTTTTTTTCAAAGTTTAGCTGGATTAAGTTTAAATTACACAAAATTTAATGATGCAGTTAAAAGTCTGCTATGATTTTGAGATTGACAAATGTAGATTGTATTCTTTGTTCCTTATTCTCAAGAAACGGTGGAACAATTTGAAAATAAGATGTGGTATGATTGCCAATGAGACAACTCTCCACCATGGTCCAAATGACGTAAAAGGTTAAAAACTTTGATGCTAAACAAGTTTGTTTTACCATAGTTGATGTTCCCTCGAGCCACATGTATTGGAGGTCTTTATGGTATCTTTCAATCAACTACTGGCAATATATATGTATTCAATGTAACGTCAAGACAAGAAGTGAAAAGTAGAACCACACATTAACTTTCAATGTCATTTTAAAATGTGGTATACAATTTTTTTTTTACCTGACAAAATGATTTATAAGAACCAGATACGTCAACTACCAACAAGTACTAGAAAACTTTTGTTACATGCATGCAAGTATTGGACTTTTGCTATGCAAAATGTTCTGATCTGTTGTACGGTCAATAATGGAATTTCAATGGTATTTTTAGATTCAGTGCTTAAACACTGAATATTCCGAAAGATTGTACCAACTTTGTCTTGGGTATAAAATCCAGAGTGTTTCGAAAAATTCAAAAATTTATAAACAATAAACTTGGTGATAAATTAGAGGTCGAAATTTCATTTGTTGTATAATAATTATCAGAACAGAAAGTACACCTGGGTGTAACAGATTCTTGTAAGCGAAGCATGGCCAGAGGATCTGTATTTTGATCAGATTGATTGAACTTTAATCTGACAAGATTGTAAGATAAGAACCAGATCCGAACTCCCAACAAATTCTACAAAAATGGTGTTATGTAATACTGTTCTATTGCTATGTATACAAACTGTTCTGATCTGTAATCGGATCATCAATGAAATTTAGATATTTCTAAATCAACTGTAAAATTCGCTGACAAGGATGTTTTATTTGAACCAGATCCGTCAACTCCCAAACAAAGATTAGAAAAGGATATATCATGCAATGCAATATTTTATAATTTTGTTTTGTATACACCATGTTTTTGTTTTGTGTTTTGGCTTTAAATCCTAATTCAAAAAGCCATGCATATCCGTCCAGAGAACATAGAATTATTTGCAAAATCACATTCTTTATTCAGTTTTTGATTACCTAAATATAGAATCATGTAAATATTTACCTCAGATCTGCCCTTGATATTTTGTTATAAGTATGTTTCATTGTTTTATACATCACGCCATTGTGTTATTGTGCTATAGTCATGTTTTGTATTCCTTTTTTTGCTTATGTGCTTTGCCTATAGAGTGTCTATATGCCCTTTTGTTTTTCTTTGTTGAAATAACTATTTGTTCTTTTAAAGTGATTAAGATTATAACACAAAGTTGACTGCTGTACCCCTATTTTGACATTTTTACCTATTATGTATGGTTTTTTTATCACACATTGTTGTCAATACAATGGAATTCTATACGACTGTCATACAAGCGAGAGGTTTAGCTAGCTATAAAGCCAGGTTTAATCCACTATTTTCTACATTCGTAAATGCCTGTTTATATAACGTCAGGAATATGACAGTTGTTTTCCATTCGTTTGATGTGTTTGAGCTTTTGATTTTGCCAGTTTATAAAGGACTTTCCGTTTTTAATTTTCATTGGAGTTCGGTATTTTTTTTATTTTACTCTTTTTTCTATAGTGTTCTTCCTTTCCAGGAAAAGGGAATAAAATAACAAATAAATACAAGTATACATGCAACGGAATGGATTTATTGAAATTCGAAATTTTATAAAAGGGTTGGAATTTCGACAAAAAGTAAAACAATATCAGTCATACAAATTTTATTCTTAAAGTTTTCAAACTCCATACTCTATTGGTGTGTCTGCACACGGTACAACGTGCTGACAAAAACTTTAATATGATAACCAAAATAGCAAACTTAACAGTGATGTCTCGGTGTTTTTTATTTGTGTATTGTTGTTGTCGTGAATTTTGGTCTTTCGGTCTGGTTTTTGTTTGCTTAACAGAGAGATCTGCACGGATGCTTGTTTTGAATTCTGATTTTCTCTAGTAGCCTTCCCTTCTCACTCGAATATTCCACAGAAAAAGATACCATGTCACCTGGTTCTGGAATCAATTTCATCAGGTATGCTGCAATTAAAGTGTTTTAAAAATGAAATATACTTCATAAGAATATGGAACAGCCTAAATCGACGTACTTAACTTGGGAGTTTAGTTTATCTAACGATACGTTTGAATTGAAATGGGTCTTCAAAATTATACAAGTACCAAAGCATTGGTTTCTGGGGAGAAAGTACAGCTAGGAACAAAGAGTTCACCAGAATTGGTACCGACAAGTTCGTTGTAATATGTATGGGTACAATTTTCAGTTTGCGCGTATCTAAATGTCGGTATACGATCATTAGGTGAGCAGATGTTAAAAGTTTGGGAAAACAATTAAAAAATGGTTTGCAGAGACTAAAGGATCTAAGCTGAACAGTCAAAACAGGTAAACTTTGCCTGAGGAAGTTTTATACTGGTCCCCTAGTTCCCTGTCCTTTGGCTCTTGTTGACTCAGATACCCGTATGTTGCAAGGGAGAAAACCAGCCTTGAGAAAGTTTTAGAACTTAGAAATAAGTGTAACATTACACGAAATTGCAGAAAATCATGTAGAAAATGGTAAAGGTTCGCAATTTTTATGACCAGACCTTTTCGTGCTATTTTAATTTTTCGTTTTTCTTGTCCCGTCTTTTAATCTTTCATTAAAAAGATAAATTTAATGTTCGATGAGTTCGGTAAACAGATGACTATTTGACCATAGCATTCAAGTTACAGGCGCTGGTAGTTTCGCGACATGTAGTATGTTAACACAATTTTCTTACAAACACGTCTCTTCATCTGCCATTTCTCAGAATTGTCAAAAGTGGTTTCTCGAGATGTCTTTGGCAAGTTTCAAAGAGAATACTCCTAGTGATACACAGTGTATATATAATACCAGTTTATATTTATATCTGGAAGAATGACCCTTTTCATGACCTGCAATTATCATCTCGCTGCAGTGTATAGATACTACACCGTCTCTTTTATTCATGTATTGACATTATTAATGTTTTTGTCTTTGTCGGTAAACACATTTATCTGTATATTTTACATCTATCGTGTAAATAAATTGACCTTTGCATCTACTTAAAGGTAAATAAACAAAAATAACGACTTCGGTTGAAATTGTAAACTATCTTTTGTTTCTAATTAATTTGTAATTAGGATACGGTGTGTCGACGTTTGCGTATACCGTAAAAATACCAAAATATATTGCATATCAGAAACCACCACTTCGTTTCAGCTAATTGTAATGGCAAATTCGTTTTGTTATTTTCTGCACTTAATTAGCGTCTAATTTACAATATTATTATTAAAGGTGTCCTTGCTCAAAATGATTTGATTTGCCAAAACTAAAGGTACAAAAAATTAAATGTCAATTGTTTTAACACTCGAAAGTAATTTTACTTATGATATATAACGCTTATATATATATATATATACTAGTATATTTTAAGTAGCGTTCTTTTTTTAAGAAACCTGTATTTTTTTAATTATATTTTTTCTTAACATTGAGAAGAGCCAAGTTATGATTTTTTGGGGGTAAACACCTCATTCCCTAGTCCGACGTCTGACGTCTTGCGGTCCCAACAAGCCATTAAAAGACCGACAGACGTCTGAGCAATCTCTTTCTCTATTCCTCCTATTTGTATTCGATCAACGTGAAAAGGGTACAAAAAAAACGCACAATGAACATCAGTTCAGAAAGCAAAAAAAAATGAAAAAGCACAACTACATGAATACATATTTTATGTGCATGTCAAATAATGCTGATATATATAGATACCGAAAACAATCTCCCTATATACTACGTAATCTGTTGATCGATAAATTATGCTTTCATACACTCTTAAAGTTTTCTTGAAGAGTGACGACCACTTAAAAAGTTTTCAAATACATCTGGTCTTGTTTTGGCATTGTTGTAGTAGTGATTGATGGCTGCTAATACCAATTTATGTTCAGTACTCTGTAGCATCACTTATTCTTCATTATTTTATCGATTTACATCGCACCTTTTCAATGAGTTTCGTAGCTTCCGGACGTAAAACTAAGGCCATCTGGTGGAGCCACATATCTTTTACTATATACCATAAGCCCACACAAGTTATCTGCATGATATTGGGTTGCATATTGGAATACTATGTTGGCAGTTTCTACTATTTATCATCGCTTATATGAACTGCAATCAAAAAGCTGTGAGCTATTGAACGTGAAATGGACACTGGGAAATTGCTTGTAATTTGTCAGATAAAAGTTATCGAATGCACAAGTTCAATTAGTTTGTTTTAAGATGTTTTCGTAACATATGTACCAAAACAATAATTTCGGTTAACTTGTAATTTTATATTTACAAATAAAATACGAAAACATTCCTCGTAACAAGAACGTAGAAAGTCATTTAGTTGAAAGTAAAATGATAAACGCTTTGTCATTAGTTTAAAAGGACAGACGAAAAGGGAAGAAATCTAACCAAAATCCTTCAATACGGAGAATTTGTCAGTCAGTTCAAACTTTTAGGAAAAACACCAAAGATGACAAAACAAGCAATAGTATTGATATATTTTTTGTACACAACGATTGTTTCCAACGATACATGTCTTGACTTTTGGTCTTCATTTGTTAGTCGTATATTCCATAGTATAATCAAGAAACAAACGGAGCTTGGTTCGGTCGCTGTAACTAGGTCTATTGACGAAGAACGATGATAGTCTTTTTGTGTGGTAATTTTCTATAAGTTTTATGACTAAAAACACATTTTAACAATTCATTTTGTCTTATAATCATTTTCAAATTAACCCATCATGTTAATCTTGTTTTTGGTCATTCTATTGTCATTTAAAAAAATCTTTCTTCTTAACTTGTGGAAAATTCGTAGAACTTTGCACATTTGGTATCCCCTTTTAAACCTATGCAATTAATTGTTTCTATTTTGGTAATTTTTTGTTCGAGAAACAGGCTTCGAATATGCGTTCAATGACACTGGTACGGTTCCAATATCCTGTTAGAATATTTCTGCATGTCTTCTTCTTAGAGTTTCAGTACAAACAGCTTCAATTTAAATACCTTTTGATTAAGTATAGTCGTATATATAAACGAAGAACAAGAAAAAATTGAAAGGGGCATACGAATATTAGAAACAATGATCACTATACTTCCCGCTGAAATATGCATGTTAAAACCTTTTACCAATGTTTCCATATACAAATATTTGGTTAAGAAGTTTGGCTGTACCTATAGAGTTCTTATTAAAACGGGATACCACATCTTATTTTTTACGGTGATGTTGTTTATAAAGCCCGTAAATTTAGATGCGATCCATGTAAACTACTAGTAATTGAGTCTTGAAAAAACTTATTCTTAGAGGTTATCAATTTAACACAGTAAACTGTAGTAAAATATTATATTGTTTTTATTGGTACTAACATTGATTTTGTTTTTGAAAGATTAAAACATAACTCAATATATATTGCTATATATGTACATTTATTAGAACTTATTATCCAACATCTTGTCGATACTGCCTTCATATATTTTGGCACTGCACAAGGTCATGCGTTTCTCAGACTATTTATTACGTCTTTACACTAAATCTGTTGGGTGTGTACTGATTGATACTCTAACCTGGGAGAAAATGATTTATTTATTAGTTGTAATTGGCTTTGAACTAGTTTTCAGTATATGCGAGTACTCTTATTTCGGTGCTTAATGTCTATTAGTTATTTGTTTTGGTGCCTCGTACCGATCATTTGAGTTCAGCTAATTGCAAATGATTTGTACGGTTTGTTCTTATGTTGTGTTGTTACACCACTGTCCCAGATTAGGGAAGGGTTGAGCGCTCACAAAGATGTTTAATCTCGCCACATTCTTTATTTGCTTTTCCCAAGTCAGGAGTCTGTAATTAAGTGGTTGTCGTTGGTTCATGTCTGTCATATTTGTTTTGTTGTGAATTAGGCCATTACTTTTCTCGTTTGAATTGTTTCACATTTTTCATGTGGGGGCCTGTTATGGCCAACTATACAGTATGGATTTTTCTCATTGTTGAAGGTTGTGCGGTGGCCTATAATTGCTTACATCCACGTCATTTGTACTCTGGTGGATAGTTGTCTCATTAGCAATCATACCACATCTCCTTATTTTATATATTATGCAATTGTGCATAGCGAGCTATGTACACATGTACATATATCAACTTAATAATCAAGCTTCACTTTATCCGCTAAATATTAAACTGATAATTTCAAGTAATTTTTTGCTTAAATTCAGGAAAAAAACCATTTCCATTAATGATTTTTTTTTAATAGATTAAGTGTAATAAAGAAAATTGATAGAAAATAATAATTGGTCCATGTGCTTGTCTTCTTTTAGATACAGGCATTTGTAAACCCAGAATGTTTTGCAGGAAACGGATCTCTTTTGAGTTTTTCATAAGAAATGTACAGGATGAAATGGATGTTAAACTAAATAAATATGCAATAAGAAATAGTAAGAAAATCTTGTGTCAGAAGAGTATTCAACAGAGAGGCGGAAGATACTAAAGAGATATTCAAACTCACAAGTCAAAAACAGGCTAACAACGCCATGACAAAACATGAAAAAGGACCAAAAGACAAACTCAGTCCGAAAACCACAACATAGAAACATAAAGAATGAGCAAAACGAACTCCTACAAATACTGCGGTAATTTCAGGTTCTCTGGGAGGGTAAGCAGATCCTGCTCCACATATGGCACACTAAAGTGTGACACTTAAAAATTGAATTCTAATTTTTATAATTTAAGAAAAGTAAGGGTTGTCGGAAAAATTATTTTCGGAAAAAGTCGAATTGAGTACTAAATGATAAATTATAATGATAAAACCGAGCGACAAACATTTAAAAAAAAATTTACAGAGCTAAGCAGCAAGAAATAAGCCCAACGATGTTGTTACAAGTTTTTACGATGATTAGAAAAAGTACTTTAGAAAAAAAAACATAAACAGATGTAGTTTTTCTGGAGATGGCTTTAATCCATAATTAAGATAAGATAATGCGATACTTGCAGGTGTAAAAATTG